AGCGAGTGCCCATGCATAACCGGGTCCAACATTATTCCCGTGCAAAAAGGTCACTGTTTCTCTGGAAAAAGTTCAGGAGAGTCCTCCCTGTTGTCGGGAACGGCCAAGGAGAGTCCCTCCCAACTTTTCGCAGGGGAAACATGCCTCTCTTCCCATTCTTTCCGTGGACACAGCCCTTTCCATTCCTGCGAGAGTGTTCCCCGCTCTTCGTCTAGAAGGAGCCAGGGAAAGTGTTGCCCAGTCGTTGTACGGAAGGAGCCTGCTCCAACGATAATCCACCACCCATTTCATTTTGTGAAAAAGCCTATTGTCTCTCCAGGAAACCCCTGCGCATGTTGGAAAGAGCCAAGGACCGCTCCACATTCTTTCTCTGGAAGAAATGGAGGAGAGACCTCTCAAGTTGTTGTGGGGGAGGCCAGGAGACTGCCCCCAACTGCTTCTCGAAAGAGGAGAGCGGAGGAGAATTCCTTCCACTCCGAGTCCTCCCCAACCTTTCGTTCGAGCGAATGGTGGAATGTCCTGTCCTTCCACTCTTCCTGCTGAAAAAGCCCAGGAGAGTACTCCTTGTTGTGCTTTGGAAGGACTTGAAAAAAGTCCTTTCCCACTCCCCTTCTAGCAGAAGAATCCTCCTCACTCTGTGTATTGAATGTGCCGCGGCAAGTTCTCCCCACTTGCTCTCAAGGAAATGGAGTCGTCATGACCAGAATGGCCCCAGATCTTCACCCCCAGAAAAGCATGTAAAAACGTCAGCACACGCAAAAAACACTGCAACAATGGGTGGGGGTGGGGCGTAACGTCCCACTCTCCATGCTTATCAATGTTTCAAACACAGGTCTTTATCTTCTTTCGAACTCATTAAATACAAAGAGGCAACAATTTGCTGTCTCTGTCTGGCGCCAAAGATTCGCGCTGAATTTGATTCCCTTTGTATTGGGTCTGGTTCCTCGCATGCGTTCATGCGTGTACGGTTGCCACGAGGTGTCCTGTTCAAAAGAGGCGCAAACGTCAAGTATCTGAGCTTCCGCAGAAAACGCCTTGCTGGCGGAGCTACAAACGGTGCTTACACGGATCCAGCAGCTGGGCTACAAACAAAATCCATGAAGCTGTCCTCTGGGAAACAATCGGTGGCAACCGCGGCAGCCAGAGAGTTTGTTGCAATCCCTGCCTTCAGTGGTCTCATGGAATTGGTCCAACGGAATGCCAGGGGCATTTTCTGTTCATTTGTCGTAATCACCTGCTTTTCGACGCTATCATAACAACATCAATTGGGTTCTGTATGTGTTCTCCAAAGCGGGTCCGGATGCCCCCTCGCTCCAGATGTGGATCTTGGCCCGAAAACTCGGAGTCGAGACTAATTCTGGTCACCAGGCGGGGGATTTGCGGACTAAAGGTTTGGAGGTATGGATCCAGCTTTCAGGCCTGCTGGAGGCGGCAAGTGGATGCAGGCATGCGCAACACGCATAGTGATCTTCCTTCAGACAAAGAGAGACTTTTTGCGCTCGGGCATGTTTACGGTGCAGCATGATGGAAAGCTTTCTTTTCAGAGGGCTTCACTCCTCAGAGCACATACACTAATTAACAAGTTTAAACCTTGACAATGAAAGACTCAGCTTGTAGACTTCGCGAAAGTTTAAACCTGATAGGCGTCCACGAACCCGAACGCAGACACGCGGCACAGTGCGTACACCACACGACGAGCACACTCGACTCCATGATCTCCATTCTCAACCCCCTATTCTCCACTCTCCACTGCCCACTCCGACTCCCCACTCCTTCCGCTGTCCACTCTCCCAAGTCCGCTCAACTCTCAACTTCACCTTGCACTCTCCACATGCCACTCGTCACTCCACTCTGCACACCCTGAAACTAGGAGTGATATATTCTCAGTCTCAAATGCATATGATGTTGTCTCTTCTGGCAGGTATCATTGCTTCTCTGGGCTCTGAAAACAAGGGTCCTACTAGCTTGAACTTGTGAAAGCCTACTTTGTCTGTGCTACAGTTTCTGTGCCTTGAGGTTGCGGTAGGCACCGTAGTCGTACCTTCTGAGAGAAAACTTCTTGGATGCTCCGCGGTTTGGGTATATGTGAGGCACCTAATAATATGCCTGGAAGGCAGGAATGTTCTTGAAATGCTGAAGTCGCATATGAATTTACGCTGGCTGGAATCACCACTCCATACATCAAACCCAGAGAACTTCCTGACTTACGTACATTCCAGAACACATGCTACACCGCCCATGCGCTTTTGTCCTAAGCTGCGTTTAATGCTTTTGTTCATAATTGGGTTATTCATAGTTGGGGTGTTCCGAAACACCGTCTAAGAAAGGGAAGCAATTCTTCGGGAAGATTGGGCTGGCTTTACGAAGCAGCCCTTTCTGATTTCAGATGAGCAGACGGATCCCGTTTCAACCATGGCAGGAGGGCGCCTGCTGCTACTGTTGAAAAGTCGGTGCAAAATGTGAAAGCTTACTGTTATGACCCTCATTCAATCCTGGTTCAGAGGCTGGAGAATGATGTCCACCTTCCAGAGCCGTATCTCATGCAAACCCCGAACGTGTGGAGGATCCAAAAAAAAGGACCAAACTTATTTACTTCGAGCATCCCCACCCTAAAGCCGTTCTTGCACAAGAAGTGTAACGCTTCCCTGCCCCGCAACAACTGTCTTCCTTGCAGAAATGCGAATGCGCTGCAACAATATTGAAACTCTGCAGTGCCCGGATATTTGGTGGCTGCACACTGCAGGGATACTCTGTAGTTGGGCACTGCAGGGATACTTGGCGGGTGCTGCAGGGATACTCTGCGGTTGGGCACTGCAGGGATACTTGGTGGTTGGGCACTGCAGGGATACTTGGTGGTTGGTCGCTAAAGTCAGCTTCCAGTCGGGCGAGGACAACATCTACTTTAAAATCTAACAACCCCACTGCAAGGGTGGGGAAAAAAAACTCTTAGACAGCGCTGACATGCGCTGACCAAGTATGCTGCGGGTATAGCCTCATAT